GACAGCAGGCCAGATGTGATGTGGCGATCGGTCATAAAAGCAGTGGAAATGTCACTATAACACATGACCATTTCCAATGATAAGATATAATTCCTATAGTTAAAGATGTTAATGTCAATGAAGTACTACAGTTCTTTGTGAAGCTGAATTACTCAACTTTTTTGAGCTTCAGAAGTGTTCATCCACCACAGAAATAATGTAAATCCAAAATCTTTGATTATACTTGAAACTCAGCTCATGAAAAGAAACCTGAGCAACAGTTGCATACTGTAACAATTTTCTTTGAAAATGAGGTAGCTTTTTATTTTGAGAATGTCTGTGACTATAAAATACAAATTACAATTAAGTGAGAAAAATAATTTCTCATAGAATGCAAGAAGGGCCAAAAAAAACCCCTATCCTAGCTTCTAGGATTTGATTTCCAGCATCTAAAATGGGGAAACTTAGTTAACATATTTTCTGACTATGCAGTTTCCAGGGTTGACTTCTGCAGAAAAGCAACTTGTACTGCATAAATTAGGAGTAATTTGGGTTTAGAATGACAAAAAATGAGATAGGCTTTTTTAGTTTTAGCAGGTGTATTGAGAAAATGTCTACAATTCTTCACAGAACTGAGCGCTCTCCAGTGTTAGAATGTTTCTCACCTTAAAAAGAAGTAAGGAAGTATTTTAACAAAGGCAGTTTAGTATGCAAGATGATGAACTGGTAGGAGAAAAATAGTACTACTCAGACTTATTTAAGTCTGCAAAGTCTGTAAGCTTCTCTACTCAAGCCTCTACTGATATTCCTTCTTGATTAATAATCCTATAGTCTAATCATAGCATTCTTCACATTCCACATCTGAAAATTAGTTGCAGAAAGACAATACAAATAACAAACTGATGTTCATTCAGGTAGGATTTCACTTAAAGAATTATATACTACTACACTTTAAGTCCCTATACGCTGAAATAAGATGACACAGAGTCTTAGAATCAAAAATCCATCTTAGAAACCCCTATCATTTAGTCAAACTTATTTACTCACAATCAAAAATGCATCCAAAGAATCCCTTCCCTTGAGAAAACTATCATTCTTATTTATTGAGAAAATTAAACTATAGCCTGAACTATAATTGAAATTCATTTAACTGTTATCTACAGTGTAAAAAGCCTGCAGAAATCCCTTATTTTATAAAAGCTATGATGAAATACAACAATTAGTATCTACAGAATACTATCTGACAGGGTGTCATTTGGGGAAAAAAAAAATGTTTATACTTACAGTCACTATGAGCCAATATTCATTTTCCTCAGATGCTTGCTCTTACGGACTCTGTGAGTAGTTTGCTTTTCTAAGCTCATGAAGGATGGGCTGGCTGTCTTGCTAAAGCTTAATAGGATAACAAGTTCAAATTTTTTTTCCCTGGACTTATCCACTTCTGTACTGTCAACCCCAGTCAGCAATGATATGCTGTATACACATAACCTTTCAATCACTGAAGCAATAAAGTTATAAATACTAGTTATTTAACTCTTAACAGGTAAAGCAGATAAGAAAAATAACAACTTACCGGAGCTTTACAGAATGTCAGGTTTGCCTGAAAACCCTTAATCAATCAGATTACCTAATTAAAATTAACAATAAAAGAGGGAGCAACGTTGTTCACAGTCATGCTCCACTTCTTTTTCTATTTCTGTCTCCTAAGCTCAGAATCTGATTAGTACATTTAATTCCATGAAGCATCATGACTGGTCTTTAATCAGCCCGTTGACATCCACACCTTTTTCCTTCACATGTTGTAGAATTCAAGATAATCATTTACCAATTTGGTAATATTCCTAAACAAAGCACAAAATATAATGTATCAACACTGGAAAGATTTTAATTTTCACATGTTTGCACATATCCAGTATGAAAAATGGGATAGAAGTAGTATGCTTATAGAGACCAATGCAAAGATTGTAAAAAACTCATAAACAGTGTTGTAATTACATGAGATTACATGAGATGTCATTACATCACGTGAGCTTAGAGCTTGGTTAGCACTGTCAGTTTAGTTTTGTGTTTAAACACCTCATCTTTTTTCCCCCACTTTATTAAATTATTATTTCTGTTATTTTAAAATCATTATAATTTCAAAATCAGATAAAGTATAGACCATTTGCAAATTATATACTGAACAGAAGCTAATTCTCATTAGTGTATGGGGAGAAGAAGCATCTCCATAATTTTCTGCCTAGTACATCTACATGTAATGAGTAGTCTCTTTGCTCTGGTGCTATTGTAGAAGCAAGGGAGAGGAGAGTGTGAACATTATTACACAGAGTGAAGAAAATATCTGTTTTTAGTGGTTTAAGGAATAGTATTTTCCTAATGTACTGTATTAACTTAGTGGCAAGAAATAGCCTGCTTGCAAAGCTGCAGTCTTTTAGATAAGGCAAACAACTCCAATCTTACAGAGGTGTTGCCCTGACCATATTCCACTCAGAACCACTACACTGTTCAGTTATTGCTTAACTTAATTTACAACTTTTCTAAATTGCTCTAATTGCTAACTAACTACAGCATTTGGCTCTTCAATCAGATATTTTGCATGTAATCTGCAAACAGTAACTATCCTTCAGAAATTTTCTGTACACAGGTATTTTCAAACTAAAACTCAATCCTAACACTTATAAACAGGTCAAATGAAGAAATAAAAAGCCAGGAAAAGTTTCACTTAAGTATAAGATTAAAATTATCAAATTAGTTTTCTTAAACAAGGGGTGTTTGTCATCTCTGTGAATGGTTCAGCTTGGTCTAGCTTTTGGAAATATATATATTAAAAATTGTTGCAACACCAGAAACCATTAGAACTGAAAGATCATTAAGATTTTAATCTCAAAATCAGAGATTATTGAAGTGTTTTCCAAATTATCCTTTTTCTGCTCCTTTCATGCAGTAAGATGAAATTTTTCAAATTATTTATTAGCATTGTAGTTGCAGGTATATAATGTTCATACAGATTCTCAATTAAAAATATAGTCTGATTCTTAGTATCATTATTGGTTATGGATACTGCCTTCAGAGCTTCGCAGTTAAAAACCTATCTCTATAGCAACCCACCATAATTTCCTACATGAAAAACTAGTATTAGGATGGGTCTTATACACGTATTTTTAATTAACCCAATGTGATAAATTATTTATCTTTATGCTACCTATATTTCCTTTTTGCTTTATTCTCCTTCTTCCATATGCTCATTCCTTCCATGTTCATCCTTATGAATGTGTAATCATCACAGTACTAGTTAAAAATTCCCCCTATTGCTTAGCTTCCACCACAGTCTGCATACTGTCCAGTGTTACCTTTCACCTGTATGAGCAACCTGCAACTAAGCTTCCTTCTATCCCACACGTTTTTTAAAAGATAATTCCACTGACAACATGCGGTCCTGCTGGTATCTGTAGTCCGTGACAGCTTTTCATACTTTTCTGTAAACAGAATTTTTAAGGGAAGCAGTATATTGCTTCTGTTTCCTTTCCAAATGGCTCACCAGATAACCAGTTTTTCTTCATTTGTAGGTATAGCTGAAACAGGGGAGAGAATGAAGCAATGTAATGATTTGTCAGCTGTTAAAAGTCTGTCAGAAATGCTTCCTGCTTCGAAGTTTGATATGCACTGCCTTAAAAAAAAGAAGAAAAAAAAAAAAGCCTGCTGAGCATTGTATGACACTGGATGGAAAAAAAAGGAACTATAAGAATTTGTAAATTATTGTTAGGATTCCAGTTTTCAGAGAATTTGGAAACAAATCTGACGTCATTCACTAATAAAAAAATACTCAAATTGCTCAGAATAAACAAATCACAGCATGATAATAATTTATTATTTACAATTATAATTTTATTTCCTTCTGGTCATTTGCATTTCTTTATATCACTGCAATGACTACATAATCACAGACTAATGAAGCATTATGTAATGCCATTAATAATAAAAATAGTATACTTTTATAACCTCCCATTTTGAAAGAATATTAAGTTAACATTGTTTTCAATAACACAATAAATTAAGGCACAAATCTGAAGTCTAGCATTAAATATATGTAAGTAAATAATTTAATTCATATATTACTTTTCCAATCTTATAGCTAGAATTAATACATTTCATTCAACTATAAAATTCTTAATAGCAGTAAAAATTGTAGTGTCTCCATTTCCATAAAAGAATTTTGTACATATTTTGAGATATTATATCTTGTTTAATTAATCTACTTTTCCCTTCCATTATTCCGCAGTTCCATTTCTAATTATCAGAGAATTAAATAATTCACTCCCTAAGGTCAATAAGTACATTATTATCTTACAAAAATATCTAGTATTTAAGCTTTTGGGCATTTTCCAATACCTTTTTCATAAAAAGCGTATTGTGTAATTTAAATTCAGGGTGACATACGATTGGGTAAGCGCAAGCGAAATCAGACTGGGCGAGGAAATACTCTGCATATATCTATTAAACTAAAAGATACAAAGTACTACATATTCACCACTTAAGGATGCTATTAGCTTAAAAGCAGCCATTGTTGATCAGGCTTTCAGCACTGAATACTGATTTTTATTCCAGGCAGAATTTAAAGAATGGAGATACAAAAAAATGAGAAGGGACAATTAAGACAAAAAATAGGGGGATATAAATATAGAGTTGAAACAGCAGGCAAGGCCAAGCCTCTTTGCAATGCTGTGGCTCCTTCCAATGCATAATAGCAAAAACTGTAATAATTTGATTCTACAATGAAAAATGGCCTGTGCACAACAGGGTACCAATTTTACCTATTTGTTGCTTCCTTGCTTGGGATAGTCACTGGATTGTTGAGCAGTCCTAACTCAGATGTGAAAAACCTACGAACTTTTGCATAGTTTAGTCAGGAAACAAAGGACAGGCTTAAAAATTCACATGGTTGCACACTAAGCAGATGAACAATTCTTTCTTCAGCATTCACTAGAAAAAGTAATTTAAACTAAAGGCATCAATTATTTGATTTAAAGATTCGCATTCATTCCAATCCAGTATTTTATCAACTGATGCGCAATAGCTTGACTTGGTGGTACAAAGAAAGAACGCTGGTTTCCTTTAATGATAACCTCCACAACCTGCAATAAAGACAGATTTTTTTTCTTTAGAGGATAATATTATGAACTATATGGAATCTAACGTTGTATTAATCCAGGAATTATCTTACTATGATGTTCCATAAGACTATTCTTACTATAGTTATTAAAGAGCCACAACTAGATTCTCCAAGAAATGCAGAGAAAAAAAACTCCATAAGATTCTGTGTGAATTCTGACATTTTTGAGCTCAAATGAGGCCTAAAGAGTACCTTCTTTCTAACACAACTGTGGAGATTGACTGTTAATAACATTCAAGTTTTTTGTGAAGACATTTTACAGTAAGGACCACCAGATGGTGCTCTACACTGATGTTAATTTTTCACATGCAGTGCAGAAGGAAATGTGTTTTGTAGGTGTTCTGAACCGGTTGCAAGCAACACAGAAGTACGCTTTCAGTTCAGTACATTTCCGAAGCACATTCACTGTCAACTCTGCACCGACCTGCATGTGACTAGCTGTATTCAGAACTGCTATTCATTTAAAATAATGCTCTTGGTGTTGGTTAGGAACACATCATGATTGTAGGTGACTAACTTTGCTTTCAAGTTGACTTACAGAGTCAAAATACAACTGCTAGGCAGAAGTACAGTATTTTGAAAAATTTAGCTCCTAGGCAGCCTGTGGAAAAACCTGCGAAAACTGTTGTGCAAGCAATCTTTCCTTTTTCCACTCATGAACTTTGACGTTTCTTCCTGTGAAAGTCTTCTTCCTTTATATGATCTTATTTTAAATACTCAGGAAAGCTAAGTGTAGAATTTCCTATTAATGCACATTAAACTGCGTTCAACACCAGAGCATTAAAATAGTACTGCATGGAAAAAAATGTTCAAATTAACGTACTCCCAGAGTTTTTGCCTAAACCTCCCCACACACAGCAAATCTTGTAGCATACTTGTTTGGACAAACTCAGATGATGAATGCTATTAAATACTTATTCTGCCAAAATACTGGGCACAGCCTTGCTAAGAAAGTGAGTTAAAATAACAGTAACTTGGATTTCTCCCAAAAGGAAAAGATGAAGAACTAAATAGCAAAAATATCATAAAATGGGCTTGCAAGTGACTCAGAAATTACCATGAATATCTGCCTTTCTCTGGTTGTGTGTAATCTACAATTAAAATGGTAGATTACTGTAGTATGATAAAAAGGAGTATACATACTCATTCAACTTGCTGGAAAAAAGCAAGTATCTATTGTATGCCAGAACCAATACAGTCACAGGCTAATCAATACGAGAAGGAAATTAAATTGAACTTTACCTGTTCTCTAGTGAACCAGCGGGCATCCTCTATTTCATTCTTGTCAACTTTAATTTCTGTAGACACTGCAACAGCTAAGCAGCCAATCATCAGGGAGGAGGGCATTGGCCATGGCTGACAAGAGACATACTGAACATGGCCAACTTTGATTCCAGCCTCCTCTTCCACTTCTCTTCGAACAGCATCTTCTATCGTTTCGCCTAATCAAAAAGGGCAAAGAACAAGCAGCTGATGAAAATACTCCAAGCACAATTACATCCCGTGTTTTGAACTGACTCAAAAGATTTGAAACTGACCCAGACAACTGTCTATAGAGATCTTGTTCACAGATCAGGACACAGACCTGATGCATAAGATACAGAGGTCTAATAAAGTAAAACTAGCCACCAAATCAAAATGGAACACTGAAAATAATGTATGATAATTTCTCCATGCTAATGCTTAGTTTCTGAATTAGTAATTTATCATACACACAAACTATTTTTACCACACCTAAAATATAAAATTTGGGTAGGAAATATATTGTTCCTTTAATTACTTTTGACATGCTGATCTGTTCACTTATAAATAGCACTGTGATGATATTTTCAGTATGATTGTAACAGTATGTAATACAACTTGAAAATCAGTGGTTAAAATTACAGTAGTAGAAAATAGAGACTTAGAAAGACTTGCACACATTTCTGCAATGGATTATCCAATTTGCCTGACTCATTTCTCATTGCCTTAACACATACAGACAGTTTTCCAAACTTAAACTGCAATGGAAAGCTTTATTTCCATGTTCATGGAAAACTGCTGGATATGTCTGTGGAGTGTTGATGGTCACAGATATACATATGCAGATTACATATGCAGACATGTACTGTGTTGCAACCACTGATTACAGGTTCATTAAAGCAGACAGCCCATGCATCAGGAATAGAAGTTTTAGTTTAGCTATGTTCAGCTGATTAGAAGCTGACGGTATGATCAGCTACTCCCAAATTTCAGTTTATGTACTTGAATACAGTATCAGAAATAAGGCTGACAGAAGAAAGAAAGGACTCAAGAAATAAACATTTTGACTTTTTTTCAAATGACACATGAATAAACTTATTCATGCTGTCACCATATTTGACCTGCACAGTGTTACTGAATACAATTATACACTGTAATTTCAGTCATGATTAAGATGTATTCCCAACATAAGAATGTCTTACAGATTGTTTTGCAGCTACTAATAATGTTACCAATTCCAACCATTATTGCTGAACACAGCTGGCAAAATATCTCTTTACTTTTCTTTTGAATTATGTAATTTCTGCTTCCATATAACCGATCAAGCCCTCACATGTAAGCATATGCTTAACCTTAACTACAAAGTTATGTATAAGCTCTTATTTTTCCTAGGCTAAAATCTGTTGCTAAGTATCCCCAAAGAAAGTACCTTACATAAGTTTTTAAATGTTTTTTTCACTTAAATATCATACACTTTGTATAATATTTAAACCAAAACTGTTTTACATATTTCTGTACCATTTTCAATGCAAAATACTGATACATAAGAAAAACTATTTGGTAAGGTAAGATGAAATTACTCACCAGGTTCAACAAATCCAGCAAGACAGGTAAACATTCCTGGGGGAAACCTCTTCTGTCTACCTAAAAGGCAGTGGTTCCCATCTGGATGGATGACCTGCATTATCACAACAGGATCTGTAAGGAGCATGAAAGGAATAGATTTCAACATCTGAAGGACTTAAAAGCAGCAATGAATTTCAACTTATTTGGTACCAACGCATGTAAATATATATAAGATACCTTTAAGTGACTGAACCCAGAATTGTGTAGATTCCCACAGCAAGTTGTTATTTTATTTCACTTCATTTTTTTTTCCCTGCAAGGTAACTGTTTAGTCTGTTTTGCAACACACATGCTTAGTAGAAGCAGTTTACTAGCCAAGGCTTGAAGTGCAGGACATAAATTACCTGCAACCAAAGCACACAATCTGTTAAGAGTGTCAGCAATACTAACCTTGCTACGCATCCAGCAGATAACAGTAATTTCTGCAGCACAAACAATTTACTATGACCTCCTCTACACACCCAGCTCTGAAGAATATATTTTTGACTCAAATACCAAATGATATTCTAGTTACAATGTAAATAGTGACTAAACATTACATTTTGACTTTGTTGACTGTTTCCTATCAAACTCTCATCTGATGTTGCACTTTACCTTCTCACTTGGGTCATTTTATGTATCTTTTTCTTTTTTTCTTAATATTTTCTCATATTGGCATAATTTCTTTTATCAAGCCTTTCTGCACACTGTTCATCTAGCATCTTTTTCCTTTTGTTATTGTTATCTAGTTTTATAAGTATCAAATGTTATGTTCTTAAATTTTTCTATCTACCTTTATATATCTTTTCTCTTGCTATTGTTTTTCATGGTGTTTTTCTTTGTGCCCAAAACACCAGTATTTTCTCTGTATGAACAGACTTGATTGCAACCACTAAGAACAGTAATTTCACATGGCACCATGTAGAATATGCAGTGTTGCTGTCTGTAAACCTTCTTCCGAGAAAGGCATCAGTACAAAAACTCAATTCACCAGTCTTTTCTATATATTCCTATTCTTTCTTTAAGTTTGTTGTGCTAGAGACTGTGCAGAAACAGCCACTGGTATTATAGCAAGCTTCACTATAATCTGTAAGACAGAAGAATATAGCAGAAGTGCTTTGATTACTATAAAGGTAAATCTAGAGCATGTAAGAGGATATGAAATTCAGAAATACAACACAAATACAACATCCAGAACTACAACTGCAGAAGACAGGACAGGGTAGGGGAAGGAAAGGTGATCAGTGTCACCAAATGATCCAGGAAAAAAAGCTAAGGGTTTTTAACTTCCTTATTTCTCCATCAATGACAGTACACTTCCTTTGCAACACATGAACAAAAGGAGCTACATTACACTGTCTATACAAGCTTATATTCTGCGTAGAAATAGGCCTGGCAGTTTGAACTGACAATGAACAGTGAAAGCCAGTGAAGATGGCACTACAGGAAAATGAGTGCTGTGTCAGCAATTTGATATAGGGCCAAATTTGATACAGATGTATTTCAAGCTTAGACTGCTCGTGGAAGGTGAGAAAAAAAATATGCAGGGGAAAAAAAGGTGAGGTATGACCCTCTGTGTTGTTAACTTAAGTTGTTGGAACTTCTAATTGATACTACTCCAATGCAATAAAGATTGGTATTGTCAGAGCAATTCTTTGTCACAGACTACTGCAAGAAAGACAAGCCTGAACCACGTAATCCTAAACAGAGCTAAAACACACATACTATGCGAAGAGACAAGTATGTAAGACCTGGGACAGAAGCAAGCAGCTGAAATAACTAAAAAGAAATTTATTTACATGTATACAACACAAACACACCACTTTTGACCAAGTTTATCCTACAGTATTCTCACCAACTCTTGGATATGATGTGTTGTGAACACCTTGGAGACTGGGACAATCTTCTTTTAAGCATGTTTTCTTGTAACCCCCTTCTTCAATCTTGGTTGTACTCCCACAGGTCGGGCAGAATCGGTAGCGGTTGTGCCACGCTAGAACAGATCTAGCCTGGGCTACTACTCCTTTAAAAGAATATATTGAAAAAACAAAAAAAATCAAATCCTAATTCATGTAAGCTTTTAACAGTATAGAAAAAGTGAGTTTAACATAAAAATCAAACTAAGACTATGGCTTCAATTGTAATCTACTACAAGAGAAGTTGAGCAATGTGAGTTACTAAGATCTTCCTCTCTGCAGCACATGCCATAGAACAGTTGTATGCAGCTACAGACCCAATTTATATGTTCAGAAACAAATTAATTGTGATCAATATACCATTTTGCACTGAAGTTACTTTGTCTGGGCAGAGTGCCAGAATTATATTTCACACCTTTTCCAGATGACCATTTTAGGACTACTACAGCTGTGGACATAATAATGCATTGTTCCCTTTAAAGTTCAGGTGTAAGTCAGGCTTGCCCTTTATCCTTCTATAAAAGCAAAATTGTTACAGAAGCAGTGGTTAGCAGCACATCCATAATGACACTCATTCACTTAGGGATCCTGACTTTCCAACACACTCTTACTTAGGACTTAGTTTCATTTCTTGTAATGAAAAGTCAGTAATAACAGACGCTTTTATTCATTTTAGAACATCAGTGTGCAAGCATTAATATTTAAATAGTACCATTTATAAAACTAGGATGATCAATAGATTTTACAGTCTAATACCTGCCACTGCAGATGTTAGCCCTTTGCCACAACACACGTTACATACAACATTCATCACAAAACCACTGACAGGCTTTTAAAATGAAAATATTTCTAAGGCCACCAAAAATACACAATTCCTTTGCAGTGTTATGTCATTGCATTATATCTCAGTGAATCCTAAAGTTTAGCTTTCTGATGACACACACATTCAGTAACTGCTGCATTTTATGGATCTTACCAGCTTCTTTTTCAGGTAGCTGCAGTAGTGCTGGCATTGGTGGGTGAAGAAAGTAACAGTTCTCGTGTTTCTCTTTAAATTTCTCAGCAGAAGCAGAATCTACACTAAGAGCAAACCAAGCAACTAACCCATCCTCTTCATCTTCTTGCAGAACTCTTCCATTGCAAGCAGCCAGCTGGTTCATGTGGAACTGAAGCTCAACTCCAAGAAAAATCAAGATGCCTTCTTCAGTTTGGTTCATGCACTGCTCCACATCCTTGTGGTACAGTCTGCAGAGCTCTACTTCTGGCTGCTGGGAGCTCTCTATTCCCCTACCCAAAGTAACCAAAGGACTTAGGTTGTAAAAGAGGATGTATACTGTAGTTGGATGACTTTGTTTTTTGCTTAGCCACTTGGAATCTGTTCTTTTATCACTCCTCCTGTCCAGAAGTGTCAAGCCAAAATAATTTTCATGTTCTTTCCCTTCATTTGACAAAAAATCAGGCCTCTGCCCGCCCTTCACATTAGCCAACAAACTAGCTATGTGTTTGTAACCCCAAAATTTAGCAATGTCCAGAGCTGTCTGCCTTGATTTATTAACAATGGACCTGTCACACCTAGGGAAACAGAAAAGAACAGTGGTTACCAGGGTAAGTATGTCTAGCAAGAGTCCTGATGCTGTATTATTCTTACTTACAGCATATACATCTGATATTACTAAGATGCATGAACTTTAAGACACTCTGTCTATACTGGGGCACTCTTTAGGCTAAATACTTAGCATTACGGCAATGAAAAGTATTCATATTTCATTTTCTTTTGCTAAGGTCATATTCCACATTTTTGTTGACCCACTGCAGATTATCAGTTACCAAGGTTCATTAAATACTACAACAGCAATGAATTAATTAAAATCCCACACTTCACAGATAGAATGCTGAAGGCCAGGCTACACGTCTCTTCTGAATAACCAGGAATAAATACAAAGCACTTTAAGTAGCATTACTTTCTAGTAGCTACTGAAAGCATCATCAAAACATTTACAGAAAAAAATATTTAGCATTAAATAAGAATCAAGAATACAGCCTCTGCTTAGCAAGAGAAGTACACTCTCTCACTTACAGCTGTGATGGTCCCTGTAGGGATCTCTGTTACCAAAATGTCTGCAAAATGACACAGATTAGGAAACATTGCCTCATGATATGTACTTAAAAATTAACAACAAAACCGATCTGAAGTAGATGGGGGTTGATTGGCATGTCAAAAATAATGTAATTTTATTTTTTGTCAATTTCAACTCATAGGTAGAACAGAAATTTCACTGTAAACTACAAATAATACAGTAGATGTGGGGCCAGACTCATCAGTTTTTAAAACCAGAAGATGCCAGTATATTCATGCTGCTGCTAGATGGGTAACTCTACCACAGGAAAGACTGATTTGACTTGAAATTTTATATTAACCCCAGTAGTTTTTAAGGGAGTTTAAGTATATTTTATAAAAGCATTCAAAATGCAATTTACAAGTTTTTGGTGCTAAAGAAACTATGGTTGCCCATTTACCTTTAAAGATTAAGCCTCCTTCAGGCAAAGTCTCACCTAATTTCCTACTGATTTCCTCTCCCTCAGCCACTGAATTTTGTTCTGATTTTCTGTTGCCCCTTTTATATGCACAGGTACATGCAGACTGTGATCAGGATGTTATTCAGTGCCCACAATAGCGTCCTGAACTCTTTAGATCACAAAGACCTTTTTTTCCAGCCTACAAACATTTCCTGGAGCTTTTCTCAAATACAGATAAATAAAATTAAAAAAAAATTGACCAGCTTTCCAGGATTAGTTTCTGGAATATTATGTAGTATTATCTTCACAGTGGGATGATCACTGGAGGCTGTGGAATGCTGTAACTGAGATTACTGATAACCACAGAATGAAATAAACTTGCCTGGTTCTGTAATCACAGGTACAGAAAGGAACAGACTGGGCTTGATTAATGCAGAGCTCAGTTAAACTGCAACACCTGAAACACCCTCCATTTTTAAATGGTTTCCATTTGAAATATTTGGATCCTGACTTTATTCAGGCTATAGAAGAACCTTCTTTGGGGTCTCAAGTAGAAGGCTGAAGCACTGTTTGCTTTTCTGAGCGTCATGAAATACTGGAACGACAACAGTTGACTTAAAGATAGACAACAAATATGAAAGCAAGTTTTTGACATGCAATGAACAACCCTGCTGCCATAGTGACTGAAGAAAACGTGACAGCTCAAGGAGGAAGTAGGAATCAGTTGTCCAAAAAATAAATAGACAAATTAAAATTCATCAATCAGTAACTTTGGTGAAGGTGTGTTTATCATGTCTTACTTAACAGCCAGTATGTCAGCACACATTCTGCACTGTAACATAGATTAAGTGGATTACAAATAAAGTTTAGAGACAAAGTCTAAGCGGAACAAACAAATATACCAAATTTATACTCAGTGCAGTGGCTGGAAAGGGACACAAACTTTGTTCTATTCTGCTGATGTCTGGAAGGAGTGACAACATACCCCTGAAGATCAAACGAATGATTTGAGATGCTAATTTAAGAGTTTCTTAGCAAATATGGAAAGCATGATGCAAAAGCACAATCAAGTTACAAACAGACAAAGAATATATTTCCTGAAAATTCTGACACTATCCGCCAGGAAAATTTACTTTCCTGAGATCAAATCGAAATGGGCAGAAAGGGATTCAGGTTAGAGCTCTTCAATGTGATCTACTAAAGAGCTTACCCTTCTTCAAGAAGAATCCGTACAACCTCAAAGTGTCCATTTCTGGCACCATACATCAGGGCTGTCCAGCCGTTATCTGCAGCTGCATTAATAAGTGACGGGGAATGACTGAGTAATGCTTTCAGTTTGGCTGCATCTCCAACAGCAGCAAAATTATGCAGCTGAGAAACCATGTCCTGGCGGAGGTTCTTTTCAAAGTCTGTCATTGTGCCAACCAAGCTAAAAAAGCAAAACCGGTAAGCAGCGTTATCGCCAAAAACATCGGCCAACAGTCAAATCCTTGCAGTTGTTACGAGATTGTTATTCGCAACCAAATCTCGTTCCCACACATCTCAAAATACAGTGAAATGCTATCCAAATAATCAAGGCTAGTTTTAAAGAGAGTTAAGGAGAGAAAGATTTTGCTACGAAAATGAGGCTTCTTTGAACGTGAAAAACATGTTTTGGATGCCGGATCGAACACACACAGAGGCCAGTATAGAAAAAAAAACCGCTTCGAGAGTCTCATATGTTTTACAAACAATGAAAAATGATCGCAGGAGACCACGTCCCTTTGCAGGTTCAGGGACTCCTCCACACAGTGACAGGTCAGTAACTTCTACTACGCCGCGGCAGGGCCTCCAGGACCGCCGCTGGCTCCGGCACCCGCACAGAACAACGACAGCTTACGCTCCACAGTGGGGTGCTGCCTGCCCCACGACCTCTGCTCGAAGACACACACAAACACACGCCATCCCGCTACCGCAACCACAACCACC